TGTATAAGTTGTCTCACCTTGATTTACAGTCAGGACATGTTATTTTTGGTGGCACTCCAGATCAGTTAAAATGAAGAGATTGCAGCAGCCTCAGCTAAACTTTAAACTGGATCATTTACACATTGCTAACATTAAAAAAAATGTGCTGTGTGATTCATATTATTATTATTATTATTATTATTATTATTCTGTGATATGCTATTTATTTTATGTCTTTCCCACATTTCCTGTTCCTTAAAAAAAAACAAAACCTTGGAATAACTGCCACCACAAAATTACATGGTTGTGTTTGTCAGGAAATCTAACTGTGAATATGGCACTTGGGATTTTGGAAGTTGGGATACTACCAGACAACACTTGGATAGTAAAAATGCTGAACAATAGAAAAATGAATATTTGTCTATAAATAACCTCAGTAGACTTCAGAATTCCACAGGGGTGAGGTAAATAAGGCAACAGCCTTCTTTGACTTGGGTCTGTCCCAAGTGTTTAAAAAGTTATTCTGGTACATAGAAACCTGAGTTTTCAATGTGGTCTTAGGACTTGAACTTTTTGTGTTTTGGCTGTGCCCCTCTGAGAGTGGGAATTGCCAGTTAAAAGAAGGGTGAAGAGAGGTGGAATGCCACCATTGGATAAGTCTGGGAGCTCCACACATCCCTGTGGATTGCTGTAGTTGCGTGTCTGATCCTCTTTATGGATGGTCACCCCAAATTCCACTCAAATGCACGTTTTCACTGAGCGTTCTTGTTAAAAAACACAGGATTTTGTTGTAACTTTGCTGCTGCTCTCAGAAGCCCCTGCAAGGCTGAAAGCCTTGTTCCATTGACCTTTCCCTCAATGGACCATGGTGGGTTTCTGTGCTGCCCTGCCACAAGAGCCTCCCCATCCCATCACCTGCAGAGGAAAGCGCTGTAAATCCAGCTGAGCTGACATTACTGAGTGAATATTCATGGGTTTCTATACTGATGCCTCAGGGTTTAGCTTTTATATTTTTGAGGTCCTGTGTTGCTTTAGTGTGTAGTTCTGAGCTTCAGATTAAGGCTTGGTAAACTCTCTTCTCAGAGTAGGTAGGGAAAACAATTGCTTTCCTAGCTTGGAACCAAGGACAAATGATCCAAATCTCAGGCCCAAGAGCATAAACAATGTGGACTGAAGAGAGAAAAGCAAGCAGGATGGGACTGCATGGGCTAAAGCTGGAATGGGACAATGAACTGCAAGATGCAATAGAGCAGAATTTATAAAAGTGAGAGACCCTGTTACCGGTCATCCATTTTTTGTGACCATTTTGGTTCATCTTGGGTGGGATCTTGTGCTGCCCATGGTGGATCCATTGAGGCTTTTTAATAAATCCCTACTTCTTTCTTTAGCTCTGTTCAGCCTCTGTTCTAGGTCAGCCTTGATAAGGCATCAGTGCTACTGAACATCTCAGGGAACAGCTGTTCTGCAGGGTGTACATCCTTTGGAAGCACAAGAAATCCTCTGGCAACATTTAAAAAAGCACCATTCAGACAGGGCCAGGGTGGAGGAGTGGAGGGAATAACAGCTGACCTGATGGTAATGACATGGAAGCTGCTCCACCGAGTGCAGGATGAGCTTTCCAGAGGGAGAGGAGCAGGCATGGTTCGTGGTTTTATGGTTCTGCAGGCAGCAGACCCTGCTTTTGGCACAAACTCTCTGCAATCACTCTTCCAATGCTTTATCTCACAGCTAATGTGTACAGCAAAGCAGATGTGAAGATTAAGTCTCAAATGCAGTAAAATGGTTTGCAAATCTGCCCAGTGGACTGAAATGAATTGCTAGGGATGCTAATTTAATAATGCATCTCCTAATGCAAACCAATGAGCTTCCCCTCCAAACCCCACCACTTCCACCATGTATTTTTCAGCCTTGGATTGTGGTTTACCTCTGTTTTGAAGGCATGAGGCATTATTTATATAATGAAATGAATTTGTAATATATTCACTGGGGCAAATGGTTCAGGATAGTCCTAGTTAGTGGTTGCAGATATGAATACATTTGTCCTCAATGTAAAACTGATGCCTGACATCCTCAGCATGCCATATAAACTCAGGTTTATCTTTGTAGTTAGGCTGAACTCTATTAACACTCCTGATCATGTCAGCCCTGAGGCTGGGACTGTGTTTTCTCCTCTTACGAGGGAGAAAAATTAAAAAGTAAAGTAGGAATGAGATAGACAAACTAGGAGAAGGTCCCTTAGAATTCCCATATCCAAATCAGTACTTGGAACCCCAGCCCTTTACATGTGTCACAGGAAAGCATCTTGGGTGCTCTGAAGTGTATTTTATTTTGGGGAATATAGTTATGATTCCAAGACAGATATTTGTACTTTTCGGGCTTTCTTAAGCAAAAGGATGAATTAGATGTCAAGGAAAAAAAAAAAACAAACTAACACAAAAAACCAAAACAAACACAACTACCCAAACAACAAACCCACCAAAAGAAAAAAAAAAAAACAATGAAAAGACAACCAAACAAAAAAAAACTTGGTCATCAAAAAATGGATTTTGGTGGTTATTTCTAAACAATTAACTCCACAACTAAATATCAGACTAGAGATGGATTTATAAAAGCATTTCAGATACTTAAGCTCCAGAGGAAATGTGGAACAGGGAGGGGAAGGAAAAGTGTGTGCATGATGATGGATCCATGCTAGAGGAGAAAAAAATAATACTGGGGTAGTTGGAGTCTTCTTTGTCTTGGAAAAAGCAGTAGACAAGCAAGGTGGAATTTCAATTTGATACTCCCACAAAAATCTTTCTCAGGTGTTTAGGAGTCTTTATGGTTTTTAGTCAAGTTGTTCTATGTATGCACCTGCTGATCATGTCAGTGCTGTTAGATGTTCTTTCCAGGATGTGCTGCACCAGCTTCTGCTTCAAACATCCACAGGTTTTGGGCAAAACATTCTGAAATCCTGAAATTAATATCAGAGACCTCTCCAGCTGTAAAGAGTTGTGTTGGCACCAACCAGTTCTGCTTGGATTTCTCCCACCTTTTGAGCCCTCAGCTGCCTGTGGCTGGTTAAAGTAATTTTTGTAGCTGTTGCACAGTTACCTTAATTATTTTACCTGGGGATTAAGTGTGTGGTAAAGCAGTTACTTGAGTTCTTGATGTTTATGTGGGCCAGGATGAAACACGACAGTGGTCCAGCACCCAGGCTGGAATCTGCCTTCCCTTGGGCTCCTGGCAGGTTGGCTCTGGGCTGTGTGTTCAGCATTTGACACAGCTCTAATGGATGTTATCACCCCTCAGTCTGGCCTGAGCCCTTGGAAAGGCACTGCAGCGCACAAAGACATCTGCAGATGTTTTTATCCTCGCTGGTTTTGTGATTTGTACTTTGTGTTAGTGGCTCTGTTATGACGTGTTTAAAGAGAGCTCGAATTTATTGTTGCGTTTTGCAGGAATGACAACACTCTGCTCAAGAGTGTCTCAGTTTACCACAGTTTTAAACATTTTGCCATTAGTGAGCAAGGGGTGAGAGAAGGGAAGTGCTGGTTCAAGAGAGGCATAACTCAGCAAATTTCTAATTTGCTCAAGTCTATAAAGCCATTAAACATGTTTTCCTTTTCACAGGAAGATCACATGAGTTTGTTTTTTTTTGTGGAATCTGTCAAACTCAATTCCTCTATTTAACCTTATTTAAATTTATTTATTTGCTTTCCTTTGACCATTAAAATATGTGGTTTTATGAGGTTTTTTTTGTTAAACAAGTCACCATTTAAAAACCAAAGCAACAAAAACCACACTCAAGGCAATAAAACCACCAAACCTACAAACAGTTCCTCACAGTAAATAGAGACCATGATGTGTAGCAGGTCCTCCTGTCTAATGGCTCTTTGTTGTGACTAAGAGGAAGATTGTCAGTACTTTGTTTTTTTCACGCCTGTCACAGATCAACTTTATTTTCCAAACCCAGAGGGATCCTGAAAAAATACAAAGATGAGACCTTATTTTTAATTGAGTTTGTGGTACAGGGCCTTGTAAGATAATTCTTCATCCCCATCATTCAGAGACTTAAATTTAACTGTTTTTTGCAGGGTTGCATTGTTCAGTGCATTCTCCCCTTTTTAAATTTCAAACTTTTGTACCACTTTCAACTTTTATTTCTCAGCTCCTTTTGTACCCACTCTGTGTGTTGCCAGTTCTGCTTTGAAGTCCTTCGCTGTTCTGTCAGGACAGAGATTTATTTTGCGTGACTTCTCTGAGCTCTCTTGCTTCTGTGAGGAAAGAAATGCTTACCTCTGGCAATCTGTTCTTAGATTTTACTTCTATTTTTGCTACTACAAATTTTATATAAAAGTATATGGCCACTGTTATTTTCTCTGGAATCCCTTCAGCTGGGTCATTTCTGCCTGGGAGTTGGTGGAATTCTTTTGCACAGGAGGTTGGCTGTGACAAAGCTGTCTGCAAGAGCTCCCCCTTTCAACGGGGTCTGTGGGGTCAGGGCTTTGTATCCTGGGAATCCTGCAGAATTCTGCCCCACAGATCCTGCAGAATTCCCCACAGAGCAGCCCCTTTGCTGGAAATCCTTGGAGAACAGTGCCCAAGGAGTGAGGCTTGACCCCTGCTGCTCCCCCAGTCTGTTCCCTAAGCACCAAATTCTGAATCTGCACTGACATCCCCGTGTTCCATCACCCCTTTGTGTTTTAGGTGCATTTGCTCAGACTGATGGCTGTTTAATCTCCCCCTGGTGTCCTGTTACCTCTGGGATTGCTGAATGCTGGGGACAAAGAGGCACGAGGAGTTGACACCAAAAAGTTCTTGTACAATCCATCTTGCTTTATTCTTCAAGTCTGACTGCAGCATATAAGGAAAATGCAGAGAAGGATAATCTGGCATCCATAGGGGATACACTGAAAAGGTCATTTTTTGTGTTTGCCTGTCCTGCTGTTTGGAAAAAGCACTTGAGCGTGTTCACCTCACTTCTATTTGGAAACCTTTGACTTCTATATTCAGTTTTCTTTGTGTCTTTCTGCAGCTTAGAAAAAGTTGTCAGAGATGCTGGGAGATGGCACCTCTGAGTCCTGGGACTGAAGCTAATGGAAGCCTCATGCTCCTGTCAGCAAAATGCTTCTGCTTCCTTCTGACCCAGCATAAATGCTGCAGATTTATGGTTTGGGTTCCTTATAGGAGAGAAAATCCAGCTCTGCAGCTGCACCTGGAACTGGCAGGAAATCTACCCAAGATCCATTTCGCCTGTAAGTTTTTCATATTGCCGTTGATTTGAATTTCGCTTGTCACAGTAACACTAAGCACAGGTGATGGGTTATTAAGGATTCTGATATGGCAAATTATTTAGATATTTGTGATGTGTGAAGAAAAGCATGTTTTAAATGAGTTGAGGAGCTCCACAGGGGAAATACATAGTAAATAGGAGTGCAGAATTATGGAAGCAGGTGAGTGGGCTAAAAAATGAAAAAAGTAATAGTAAATAAATAAATAATAAATAGTAATAAGAAAAGAAAAAGTAAATAACAAACATAAATAGTAAAGAAATAGTAAATAAGTAAATAAAAATAGTATATAAGTAAATAATAAATAGTAAATAAGTAGTTATAAGTAAATAATAGTAAATAAGTGAATAGTAAATAAGTAGTAATAAGTGAATAATAAATAGCAAATAAGTAATTCTTGTGATGTATGAAGAAAAGCATATTTTAAATGAGTTGAGGAGCTCCACAGGGGGAATGCATAGTAAACAGTGGCACAAAAAGATGGAAGCAGGTGAGGGGGCCAAAAATCAAAATAAGTAATAGTAAATAAGTAAATAATAAATAGTAATAATAAAATAACAAATAAGTAAATGATAAACAATAAATAAATAGTAAATAACTAATTAGTAAATAGTAAATAAGTAGTAATAAGTGAATAATAAATAGTAAATAAGTATATTTGTGATGTATGAAGAAAAGCATGTTTTGAATGAGTTGAGGAGCTCCATGGGGGAAGTGCGTAGTAAATTGCAGTACAAAAAGATGGAAGCAGGTGAGGGAGCCAAAAATTGGAATAGGTAAGTGTTTATAAGCCTTGTTTACTCTCTTTTTTAACTAAGAGACAATTAACAATTAAAGCAGTAGGACTTTGAATGTTTAGAAGGTTTGGGACATGCCATATCCCCCATTTGTAGAGCATCCACATGAGTTATCTGCTGACCCCACTGCCCCTTCTTCAGGTGTAAATTCTTTGTAAAAGAAGGTAAAAAGAACATGGTATTGGATGGTAATTAGACCCAGGAACAGGTAATAGGTGCTGCTGTTTCATGTTCTTCTCATGCTTCTGACAATTCACCTCCTTAACACAATGCCACTCCATTAGTGCAAGGGGGTTTTCCCTTTTAGCATTTCCTGTAGCTTGAGAGAGACTGTTTCCCTTTTCACCTTTTCTGTTTTAACCTCTTCTGTAGCTTGAGAGAGACTGAAAGCTAGTACCTGACCCAAAAACACACACAGGAGCCCTGATTTGCACCCTGAGCCCTGGCTTGCAAGAGAAAAGAGCATTCAATTGTTTCAAACCTTCTTCATTACTGCAACAGGAGTCCATCACCTCTGGGAATGAACAGCTTCAAAACTTAAGAGTAAGAAAGAAAGCAGATAGGAAACTATTCTCTTTAAATTATTCAGTGCCTTTACTTGCTTTTAGCTGTCCTCCTTTGTGGCTGTTTATTTTTATTCCCTCCTAGGGGGGTTGTGAGAGCCAGGAGTGCCCCATCCCTCTTTATTGACTCATATTTTAATGGCACCTGCCCTGCTTTGCAGTTGGATTCAGCATTATGGGCTGTATCTCCAGCCTTCATGTCATCTGCAAAGCAGGCAGGCATGAATCACACCAGGAAAACACATGCTGGTGCTTGCTGCAGGGATTGAGGCTGGGTTAATTAGAAAAAGCCCCTGGAAGTGCTGGGAGAGACATGCAAGGAGCCACAAATAACAGGAAGCCTCACAGCTTGAGTATTGCACTGTTTGGAAGCACTGTCCTCTCAAGCACAGGGGATGGAGGATGTCAGAGGTGGACAAGGAGTTCTTTGTGAATCCCAAGCTGCCTTGTGGATGGGCAGCACAGCAGAATGGGCAACAGAAGCTCTGCTGTTGTTTCAGCCCCTCAAAAGACAAAATTTAAAACAATTATTAGTGTATCTTCAAAAATTAGCACCACCAGCTATGTTTTAAATGATGTATTTATCGTTAATTTCAGATCTGATGGCAAACTTTGTCCCCTTTCATATTCCTAGCTGGATTGTTCAATGTTGTAGCAGCTATGTCATCTCAGCCTTTGTCTAATGATAAAATCATATTATACAGTACACTTACTGCTGAAATTTATCAAAATTCTCATTTAAAAGGTCAGTTTTCTGTCTGTCTCAAGGGTGGTAATGCAGGAAGTTTATCACCAGCATTTTTCAGAGAGTTACACATACCTGTCATTTCTGACCAATTCAGCAAGAGACTTTTGTTGTATAATGTATATTCTGGTTTTATGGCATAAAGCAAAAATTCTTGCCATTTAAAAATACACTCTTCTGTTTCATAAACCAGACCCATAATTTAGTGGAATCTTGAGATGCCTTTGGGTAGAAGCCTACTTTTGTTGGAATGTGTTTTTCCCCCGAAGCACAAGGGAAAAAAAAATCATTGTTTTGCCATTGCTATCAAATTTTTCAAAGCCAGCAGTTTTTAATTCAATATCTATGTTGATCTCATGATAACCCAGACCTGTGAGAATCCAATATAGTGCAAGTTTTAGGTGAGGAGTGTCCAGAACTGCAGCACTTGGAGTTTAGCTTTTCCCAAACTTCCAAAAGACTCAGATCCAATGATTTTTTGTTTGGGTTTTTTTTGTGTCTGGGGGAAGATCAGATCCAGCAGTGTTTTTTTCTTTGCTTCACCTCTATAGCTACTCAAATCCTCCAAATAAGAGCATAAAACGCGACAGGACCATGATCACACAGCTGCAGGTTCAGTGTTTTGATGAAACATTGATAAAGCCCCTGGGCTTATTTTTTTATGGGAATATCAAACCTGTCTCCAGGAGGCCTCTGGCTCCTCTTTTCTTCTCCTCCCTCACACAGCCAGTGGATTTCCAGTAAGTTTGTAAAGTAGCCAGGGGAGTGCTGTTCCACAGTACTTGGGAGTGGGGGAGAAAGGCTTTAATCCCTCCTTTCCACAGCAAAGAAGAAGTGATTTGTCAGGCAGCATGGACAGGTTGGAATTTTGTGAGATGTGGTGGATATTTGGCATAAATCAGCTGTTTGGCAGTAAATCAGCTGTCAGATCCAGGGAAATTTGGGGGCAGTTTTGTCTGCTGTAGGAACAGTTTTGCAGAGCATGAGCAGGATTCAGTCCCACAGGACAAAGTAGCTGGTTCACTGCAGGGACATTCCTTTCCCAATGTATTACATGCTAAAACCATCCTGCTGTTTTCTTTTTCCTTTCTGCTTCTCCACACACAGGGAACTAGAAAGCCTGTGATGCTGAAATCCATGGAAGGAAACTCCAACTTCAGCAAAATCTTTTTACTCCTTGATGTTTCTCATATTCTCTTTTCTATGAGTAAAAGTAATTCTGCCATCATGTAAATCATTGGAATATGTGGCAGTCAATGCCAGTAATCTGTTGTGTTTACTGTCTTCTGTCATCCTGCTTTTGAAGTTTCTGAGCCAATGCAGTTCTTGCAATAAAGACAGAGTAGTTTTGTAGCACCTTCCTTTTTCCTTTATAGACAAAACTCAAAATGCATCTCAGAGGCTGTGGCCACAAATTTGTTCCACTAAAAATTACCTGGGAATTGCTAAATAGTGAGTGTTAAATAGTTAAATGTTGAACAGAATGAGAAGAGAACAAATCAAAATTAACCACAAAAATTGACTCCTTGTTAATGGATGTTATTTTCTCTTAAGAGCCATGTGCATCCTGAGCAGATGTTGCATCTTCCAGAGTCTCTTGCTGAAGGGGTTTCTGTCAGTGCATCTTCTCAGGGGTTATGGCTGAGCTTCCTGTGGTAAATGAGCTTTCTCTTAAGCCCAGCTAATGTGAATCACAGAAGGTTTAAGGCTGGAAGAACCTCAGAACCTCATCTTGCCCAAGTGGTGTCACCAACAGGAGAAGGGCTGGACACTGCTTGGCCACTTGCTGAGGCAAAAAATATCTGAGAATCAGAACAAGGGGGATCTGGAGAGGAAAATGCTGCCTCTGTGCCTGTCTCCTGCTTAGGGTGAAGGGCAGCAAAGAGCACTTGAAAGCTGAAAGGAGCTCAGGCAGTACCAGGGGAGATTTAGGGAGTTCCTGGTGCTGTGAATGGATGAGCCATGGAGGGCTGGCTGGGAGATCACAGATGGGGCTGATGGGGCAGCCTGGGCTGTCCCAGGGTCTGATTGATGGCTGGAAGCAGGTATGGGAGTGTGACGGTGTTCACTGGGGTTCTTGGAATGGGGGAAGAGACGAGGATCTGACTCCATGTTTCAGAAGACTTGATGTATTATTTTATGATATATATTACATTAAAACTATACTAAAAGAATAGAATAAAAGGTTTCATCAGAAGGCTAGCTAAGAATAGAATAGGAAGGAATGATAACAAAGGCTTGTGGCTCGGCTCTGTCTGAGCCAGCTGTGATTGGCCATTAATTACGAACATCCAACGTGGGCCAATCCCAGATGCACCTGTTGCATTCCACAGCAGCAGATAACGATTGTTTACATTTTGTTCCTGAGGCCTCTCAGCAGGAAAAATCCTAAGAAAATTATTTTTCCTAAAAGATGTCTGTGACATGAGAGCCCATGAGCCAGCTCAGAGCAAGCCCCATAGCTCTTGGGAGCTCTCCCGTGGGCTGCTCTGCTGTTTTGCCATTGCTTAAGGTGCAGGGAAAAGCTGTTTAAAAGGATTTTCATTTAACTATTTTATTTAGCTCTACATGAGCTTTTGCTCAGCCTACATTTTAATGCTTGACAGCTGAGCTTTTACAAGGTTCTGGAGCCATTAATCAGAGCAGTGTTTTGGGAAGCTTTTGCAATGTATATTTGAGAATTTGTATGGCACTGGTTTAAATTAAAGCCTAAGGCTCACTTTTGAGGCTGCTTTTGGCCTCTTTCTGTAAAGCATGGAGCCTTGTATTATTGTTCTGAGAACCCATAATTAGTAGCAAATGTTTGCAAAATGCTGAAGGTTGTTGCTAGGGTGCTCCTTCAGGCTGGGATGTGTGAGAGATGGTTAAACCTAAATTAGCTCTATTTCAAAACCTGTTTCCATAAGCTGAAAGTATAGATAATTTTTTAGGCAGTGCAGTACACTCTGACATTTCAAATGAGCAATGGGAATAAAGGCATTCCTTCAGGAATGGGTGTGACTTTGAGTGAGGAGAAATTAGGCTCCCATTCTTTGTAGTAATTTACTGGGGAATCAGGCAGGAGATAGGAAACAGGACTTCAGGCCTAGGCTGGTTTTATTTTTCGCAGAGGCATTGAGTCTTTTGCCCAGAGCCCCTCAGATTTCAAGCTATTTTTCCAATCCAAACAAGGATCAGATTTGTATTTGTTTTGAGGGTCAATGACAACTTTTGTAACCAAGAGTAAAAAAATTATGGAGAAGCATTAAACAAAGAGTTTAAAAACTAAGGACAAGCATAAAATTATAGCCTAAGAATCCCTCTTTCTAGCATTATATGCCTCTTGAACTTATACATAATGTTGTGTGTAACAATGATGATTCTTTTTTGCTGTGTTTGATGCCAGATTTTGAAAGACCCATTTAAAAAGTGCTCTGTTTTTTGCCAAAATATCTCTGCATGTGTTTTGTTGCACAGTGCCCTCTCTCCTGAGGCACTCTGCCATCAGTGGTGACCCTTGGTGGAATTTTGGGACTTCCAGAGGTGGGAATGGGGAGGGCAGGAACCTCTGCAGGTGCTGTGTGTGGTGTCTCACCCTTTTAGAGGAGTCTGGGGGCAAGGAGTGCCACCAAAACTCATCCTGGCAGCTGGGTGAATGTGGGGAGTACAGGCAACACCTTCCCCTTCTCTGTGGGTGTCTTGCTGAATTAAGGTCTATTGTCCAAAATCTTCAGATGTGAGAGCAAAGGAGGAGGAGGATTTTGTGTGTTTGGGGTGAGTCAGGCATTGATCCAGCCCAGACTGGAAGGCTGCCATAAATTCTGGTCCTTTCCACAAGCAGGGATGCACACGGACTGGCAATGTGAGTGGCTTTGGAGAGGAAGGTGTCTGTGCTTTGGTTCCAGGGCTATTAGAGTGGTAGAGAGGCACTTTGAAACGTTCATGGGTCTGTGGTTATTTTTGTTAGACACCTGTGGGAAAACCATGGCAAATAAAGGTGTTTCAAAGGCCAGGAACATGAGATTCAACATGCAAACCCCTTGGATACAGGGGGAGCACCAGGGAATCTGAACCGCTTCAGTGCCACCATTGCATGCACAGCAATTTGCTCACACCAAAGTCTGGATGAAAGGCCAGAGAGGGGAACATTTAAATGAGCACCTAATTTTCATTTGCACGGGGCTTGCTGTGTGATGGTGTTCATGTTAGGATGAGGGAAGAGATGAGGATCTGACCCCATGTTTCAGAAGGCTGATTTATTATTTTATGATATAAAATATATTAAAACTATACTAAAAGAATAGAAGAAAGGATTTCATCAAAAGGCTGGCTAAGAATAGAAAAAGAAAGAATGATGACAAAGGCTTGTGGCTCGGATAGAGTCTGAGACAGCTGGACTGTGATTGGCCATTAATTAGAAACAACCACATGAGACCAATCACAGATGCACCTGTTGCATCCCACAGCAGCAGATAATCAATGTTTACATTTTGTTCCTGAGGCCTCTCAGCTTCTCAGGAGAAAAAATCCTAATGAAAGGATTTTTCAGAAAATATCATGGCTACACTTGCTGTCTGTGCTGGGCTGCACTCAGCTCCTTGCAGGATGGCAGGCTCTGGGTTGTGGAACAGCAGAGACACATTTGTGCTCCTTTGGGTTTGTACATTAAATTTGGCGTGTTTTGTATGTTAAATTTGATATGTTTTGGATGTTAAGTTTGATATGTTTTCTGTGTTAATCACAGAGCATGTGGAAGTGGCTGTGCACAACAGATCTGGGGTCACTGTGCTCCTCAGGAGATTTAACTGGGCTAATTAATTCCTACTTGTACTCCAGCTGTGTGGGCTGGTGGATTGTTGAGCTGTGGTGTGCAGTCCCTTCCAAACCCTTCCTTCTTCTGTGTCACATCACCATGCATAATCACTTGAGTCAGCAGGGATGATGGGAGGATGTCACCTACAAAGGGTGCTAAGAATGCTCTGGGTGCCAGAGCTGAGATCTTTCCCCTGTCTATTCCTCCTCATCTTTGTTTCTTCATTTCTAAATGAAAATAGTTTAAAAAAGGAGTTCTCTTACTCTCAGAGTGGGAGGAGAAGCTGGTTACGTGTCTAAAGTTTGGCCATTTGAGATGCCATTAGAGTTTTGGGGTTTTATTTTAACACCTTGCTTCTAGTGCTCTTGGCTCTGCCTCAAAGCTTTAACATTTTGCCCTAAGGTTTGTGATGCAAGTTGAAGAGTTTGTCTACATTTAGAAATAGTTTTATCTTTACACTAAGCTCACAAGACAAATCAGTACTACTGTATCCACTTTTTTAGGGAGGAACAGAAAAAATTATAAAATTATATTTCCCTAGGGTACATAAAGCTGTGATATGGCCCATTTGCAAATAAGCAGGACAGGCTTATCATTAAGTTGGGTTTTCTTCCTGGAAGAGCACTCAAGATAGACTTAAAACTTATTCCAGGTTTGGGTGTTTTTGTTATTATCTTCATTTTATTTTATTTGTTTATTTATTTTTATTTTCCTCTGTTCCCCTACCTCTCTTTCAACTACCCTAGAGAAGGATCAAGAGTAACCACCTGGATTTAAAGTCCTTCTTTTAAAGTCCTCCTAATTGTTAACTATCAAAATGTTCATTTCCAAGTCACCAGATTGACATGTTGCTGCTAATTGAAGAATCAGATGTATTAATTACAGTCATACACAGTGAAATGCTTCTTTCTAAACTATGAAGTCTACAAAGAGATCCCAATTTCTCGTTTTGCTTAGAACAAGTGGTGACTTCATTTTTATTGCCTCTCTGAGCTGTCAGTCTGATGTCAGTCATTGGGAAGGGTGTATAAACTGAACTAGTAGTTAGAAACAAAACAAAACCATCAGACTGATGCATCAAGAGTTTGGAGTGAGTTTCATGGAAGGTGTAGGAATAGTTTGTGTTTTTGAGCTGTATAGTATTGGTCTGGGACTATCTGATATAGTTGAAAAGCTTCAGCCAGAACAATGCTTGGTAACTTTGGGAAATGGTCTTTTCTCAATTTATTTCCCTTCAGCTGGGGATAGAGCTTGGCTTTTAGCTGAATATGAATGTGGGTGTTTCTTGAAAAATGTCATCTTCTGTATGTGACTTGGCTTCTTTATTTGTCTTGAACTTGTGAAAAGATGTTTCAATGACAGAAGTGAAAATAAAAAGGGATGTAAGAGCCCACCACTTGGAGGAAAGTACCACAAGCTAAAAGTTATAAACTGATTCTGCCTCCTCAAAAATAAGTTCTCAAGGTGTGCCCATGCTGTAAAGAAGTTGCATGGCTTGTGCCCCAACTAGGTGATTCCAGATCCCTTCAGGAAGGGATTTAGAATTATAACTGCTATTGTCCAGCTGGGACTTGGTTAGCATTAAAATGTGTTGAAGTGTAGATAAAACCTGAACCTGATTCCATGTTAGTAGATTGTTCCCCCCTTTCTGAGCATATTTGTTTCTATGGTTGCTAAGGAGATCAAGCACAGTTTAGCTTTTGTTGAGCAGGCAGGAGAATCTGCCAGTTCTTCAACAAGGGCCTGATAACGGAATTTCCTTCACCTCATGTTTGTGGCAATGAATGCAAGTCAAACACTGCAGATAGAAAAGAGAGTTTGTCTCAAACTGTATTTTCTGGTAGTGGCTGTGATATTTGTGGGCTTGTGAACTGGCTGGCTTTGGTCCTAGTGTTGGTGGTCTCAGGACAAAAAATTCCCCTTGTGTGGCAAGAAGAGATAATATTGAAAACCCATAAGTGCACTGTGCTGGGCCCTCACTGCTAACTGCTTTTTGCATGCCATTCAAATGATAGATTTTATGGAAGACTGGGTCAGATATAAGATGAAAATCTTAGTGGGAAGACCACCAAATTGATCACTAACAGCATAAGGGGGACTTCAGAGTCAGGAACAGGACAAGTAGCCATGGGTAGAAAGGGAGAAATTATTTTAAAAAAGAGAAAAGGTTGTAGATATTTTCTAGTTAAAAAAAGGTGAAGATTTAGACAAATATGTTATGTGTTTTGGCTTACCTGTCTGCCATCATAGGTAACACTGATATCCCTGAAATTAAAATTTTTGTTCATCTGTTTCCAGCAGCCTAAATGCAACCACAAGGTGAGCTGGTTCTATAAAGTGTTTGGTGTTATAGAGGGAGTTCTTAATAAATGTTATCATCTGATTTTTTACAGAATTGATGAGCAGAAGGGTAGCAAGACTGGGAGCATGGGGGAAGAGAAATTGGAACTATTAACTGGCAAATATTGACAACATCATTGTGGGCACTGCTGCTGCACAGCTTGATGAATGTCAGGTAAGGTCTTCTATCTACAAATGATAGCTTGGACTCTTAATATCTGCATTAGAGCATTTTCTTTCTCTTGGACCAAATTTTCTAAATTTGCAAACACTGACACTTTTACTAATAGGATCAACATCCTCCCTGAACCCTGTTCAACCTTGGCTGGAAGGATCATCTTGGTCTGGCCAGCTGGGATCCACTTTCTGTGTAACTTGTGAGCTGAGAGATGGCATGCAGCTGTAGGAGAGCAGCTTGGAAATAAACCACTCTAGAGCTGGAAGCAGAATGCCATTTAAATCTAAAATACATAGTGGTGAGTGCTGGAGCAGTTGCACCACCAGTCAAGTCTGGCTCTGTCCTGGTTTCCATAAGAGGCACTTGGGTGTAACACTTTGTGCACTTTAATTATGGAACAAAATCTACTCCCAGCTCAGTTTTTAATAATATATTTTGAGATGCTGCTATTGAAAATGATTCTATACTCAAACAAAAGATTCAAATCTGGCTTTTGGTGGCTGTTTCTACTTAGACACCAGGGCTTGAAGCTCAGCATGATGCCTGTGCCAGTGAGCCTCTGAGATGAGAAACCAACAGCATTAAATCCTAAACTATAGTTTCTTGAAAATACTTAGGCTATTCTCCCCTGGAACTCTGTAGGAGTGCATACAAGGTTTAGAGTTGCTTGTTACTGAACTAATCAGTGCTTTAAAGTCTAGCAGGTTCTGTTTAAATCCCTTCTCTCTGCCTTCACATGGGTGTGCCTCTCACTGGCACTTTGATTTTAAATCCCTTCTAAAACTGGAGGTAAAACTGCAGGATTAATTTGCTGCAATGCCCTGGAACCTCTCCCTCAGACTAAAGAAGAAAGGAGCACCTCTGATCTTATCTCTGTGCTGAAGAATGGGTATTTTTGTGAAGAGTAAGTACAGATAACTACCTATAAAGAAGAATTGCAGCTGATGCAACTGCTGTTATTAAATTTGTCAACCATAATGAGAGGTATCAAGTCATAGTAGAAGAGTCATCAAACTCTATTCTGAAGGTGATTTTTCCCCATAAGGAATACTTTTCCAGAGAAAAGAAGCATGCTTTTGAGAGAGCTGCTTGAACTTTGAGGAAATACTTCAGTATGAAGTCCAGGTAGTCTTACTCTCTTAAACACCATTTTTCTCTGGTCCTTGTATGGAAATCCATTAAGCCTTCACAACTTTACTAGAGAAGGGTGTGTGTATGGAAAGAAACCTGCCCAGAATCAGAATTTGTGCTGGACTTCCTACAAATCCCTGTCTGCACTACCTTGAGTACAAGCAAAGCAACTCTCATAACACACCTAAAAAAACACACAGAATTCATCTATCCATATCTGCAACAGCAAATTCCCCACATAAAAGCACTTTTGGCATTCCCAGATTCTGCCTCTGCCCTTCCAGGAACATGCCCGAGGTGTTCCTGCAGGTGTGATGCTAAGCAGCACAATGAGCTCTCACTGGCAAGCTGTGAAGGGCAAAACAGTGATGACAATGGGGAAATGTTCTGCAGAAAGTGATCACTCTGGTCCTAGTCAGACCTCTCTTGAGTCCCTTGCTGCAAAAATACCAAAGATGAGCTCAGAAGCTACAATTCATGATGCTGCAGTTCATGTTGCTACTGGATTCCAGAAATATGTGTATGTTGAGTGGTTTATGGCACATAAAACCCCATCTTTTTCACAGAAGATAAATTTACTTATCTTTACCACCAGCCTTTGTTCTCCTGAGGGTGAAACTGCCATATCAATTTTCTTTCTTCCTCACACTCATCAGCTGACTTTATTCCATGGGGACGCTAGCTACCTTTGCTCCCAAAAACTGACATTGCAGTTATTCTTGTGAAACTCGAGCAATGCATTTCTCATCTTGCCTCTCCCTTTGCAATCTGCTCTTTCAATTTCCATAGAATCACAGAATCATTGGGGCTGAAAAGACCATTTTAGGTCATTGAATTCCAGCTTTTACTGTCAAGCCCACCACTAGCCATGTCCCCAATGCCACACCTACACATCTTCTAATTATCCTTTGGGATGGTGAATCACCTGCTCTCCTGGACAGCCTGTTCCAGTGTTTGATAACAATTTCTGTGAAGAAGTTTTTCCTGGTACCCAGTCTCTGTCGTCCTGCCTTCCTGCAGCAACTTCAGATTGCTCAAGATCATTACTCAAAGGGGCCTGAGTTGTGGCACTGTTACCTGGAAGCCATGAAAAGCCATTTATCTGGGAAATTGCTCAGCGCTACTCCTTTGGTGTCTGCTCTTTGGGAGTATTACTCTGTCAAGAGGTCGTTCAGCAGACTCCAGATGAATGAGGGAATGCTGCAAATCAGTTTATCTGATGGACAAGTGAAATGTCAGGAGAGGAGTTTATGAGGAAAAATAACTTTCTTTTCCCAGTCTGTAGGATTACTGGGCTAATCCATTCACTCATTTTGATAGTGTGCTGTTTATTAGTATTTCCATGTTTTTGTTTTTTCCATTGTATTTTTTTTTTTTAATTCCCGTTTTATTGCATTTTTTAAATCTTTCTAGTAGATTACTTATATAAGATGGGGAGAATTGTTTCCAAGTGGCAATTTATACAAAATATTGTGACTTCCTCATTGTTGTCTCAATGGTTTACAATGCATTTTATATCCTCTAGCTACAGAGGCTTTCAGCATTTGTTATATTTGGCTTTCATAACAAGAACCATTTGAACAGTTTCTTTATTTAGTTCACTTGCAATTTACAACGTGTGTGTGGATGCTTGCATTTTTCCTAAAAGAAAAATACAAAGAAAATTGTTCTTTTTTGTGAAAAGGGTGTGAAATCTTTATCCTCCTCATCTCTCCATCTGCAAGGAAAAATCCAAACTTACAGAGAAGAAGTTGCTGCTATGGGGAGTGAATGTGAGAAAAAAATTGACTCCACTGGGGAAGGAACTGCCTGGGTCACTTTGTTATGCTCACAGTTTATCTTACATGTCGTAAATACAGAAATTCTGGAAGGAAATTGGTTTGTTCATTGTCTTATCTGAACCATCACCTTTATAATTTGTACTTCAGTTCTGCTGATGTCCATGTTAAAGCTCTCTCGTTTGGAGCAGACCAGGATTTTCTTTTTGCAGTTGCTGTGATAATAAGCTCAAAATGTTGCTTTAGTATTCCTGTGCTGCTGTTTAGTTTGCAGGGTGTAGAGTGCTGTTGTTTTCTCTGCTCTTTGACCTTCTGCTTCTGAATCTTGTTTTTCAGCAGTGTCTGCCCAGAATCTATCTTTAAGCAGAATTTAAAATTGAAGGATGTTGTTACCTTCAGATCAAACATAGGTTTTGATGAGGAAGATGATGACCTGAACCTCTGGGTGTCAGCCAGCAGTGGGGTTGCTGCCCCCTGTGTGATAACTTCAGGGAAGACTGCTTGGGAACTGCATGTTTTGTGGGAATTTGAATGATTTCAAGATGTTTATTGTGTGTTAAGACCAAACAGAATGGCATTGAAACATTCAGTGGAGGAGCTTCTGTGATGATGCTTTGACTTTGAGGACCTCTCACAGGAAATTTGCAGAAACACACTTTTCCGTGAAATGCTTGGATGGGAGAGAACATTCAAAACAAATTAGTCACCAAAATACGGGGAAAACATTGAGAGGCAGCTGCTTGTTAATGAGAATGAAGGACAGTCATTGAGTTCTAAGAAAATGTAACATGGGGATTGAAATTTGAGCCAAAAACCTCGGGTTGAGTCTCAAAACCACGGTGTGGAGCAGTTGGAAGCTGGAATTTGCTTGGCTTCTCTCTTGAACACCTCAGTCCAGGTGAATGCTGTGATTCCTGGGACACCTTGATCCAGATGCACTTTGAGGGGCTGTTTCTGGAAATGTTGTGATAAAGCCTAATCCCAACAATCTTCTGGCATTCATGTGCAGCATCCTAACTTCTCAGAGCACAATCAGCTTTCCAAATGGCAGAGGGAATTTGCTTATGTTTTGCCTCTTCCTCTTCTCTCGTTCCTTCCTTTGATCCTTTCAATAGTTTTGTCTGCATTGTAATAGAAAAATAATTAGGGGTTCTGATCTTTAAAAAACAAATTAGATAGTTTGGATTTCTTTAAATCATTTCCTGGTCTTGCTTTAGAACTTGACTGTAAGCTGAGGAGTTGAGAATGAAAGAGATTTTTCAAGCACAAAATTTTCAGTGTGACCCTTGTATTGGGATGAACACGAGGGAATATTTATAAAAATCTATTTAACTTCTTTCAACTTCTAAGTAGGATGTGGTCCCTGTCTTCAATTCCTTGCCTTCTTATTAGATTTCCCAGTATAAAAAAAGAAGTTAAATCTTGACATTCTGATATCTTTAGGACTTTGAAAGTAAGCAATCTTTTATCATACATTCTCCCATATCCATGAGGATGCTTTGCATCTTTGAAAGCACAACAGAGCTTTGCCAGCAAGCAGAGAGAAAATGAGTCATGGAAGAGATCTCCTTGCTTGCTATTAACACCTGTGTGTCTACCCAGAGTTAGGATTCCTAGAAACTTTGTTTAGAGCACCTCAATCACCTGAAAGAGCCCACAGAGCTCTCCCTTTCCCCTCTGCTCTTTTATGAGTGCAGCTCCCTCATCCTCACTGCTGTTTGGCCCTCTGGTGTGGAAACCAGGGCAAAAGGTGGGATTTTGGGCAAAATTTGGGACAAAGGACAGGGATGGAGCCTTCCTTGAGAAATCTGATGGTAGCAGGAGAGTTGATGTGTGCCTCTGCCTTGACTTTCCCTTTCCTTGTAAAGTAGATTTAAATTTGATGTAAAGTAGATTTAAATGTTAACACTCCCTGATTAACCTCCCTTTTTTGTTGCCTTAAGGTGTGTTGTTGTCCTTGGCTAGGAATAAGGCTGAGCAAAACAAATTTGTACATGGAGAAAGGCAAGGCCCTCTGCATTCTCCTGTTGTGTTAAATACAGCTATGGTAACTATTGGTTTGCATTGGAAACAAAAGGAGTCTTGCTTAATAGAAAAGGAATGAATAGAAACACCTTCAGTGCAGAGCTATCAACATTCAGCATTCTGTTTTTGTTGGGTGCATTTGTTGCTTGA